ATGAAATAAAATGTGGATTTACAACAGCTCTTTTCCTCACAAAGAGAAAAAGATTACAGGACAAAGAAGACAGAAAGCAGCATTAGAGTGTGCATCTGCACAGCCCAGGGCCCAGAAAAGGGAGATTTCACAGAAAGAAAGGAGACATTTTAAATCAGTGGTAGCTCTTTAAAAAAGAAAAAAAAAATCATCCTTTTCAGGTCCTAGCTTCAATTGTTTCTGCTGAAAACTTAAATCACATCAGGAATCACTTGAGGACTCCAAAGTCAGAACAATTTTCTGATTTCTGGAGCCTCCCAGTGGCCTGAATCTTTCAGGCCAGCAGACTGTATTTAGTGACTTTCTATTTCTGTGTAGCTCGTGAATCACACAGATTGCAGTGATTTAAGGGAGGAAATGCTCACTCCCAGCCATCTGTATATGCCAATAATAGAAGCACCTGGAAATGCTGCTTTCTTGGATTCAGTTAAGATTTTTATCAGTTGCTAGGCACATTAATTACATGTATGTCACTTAAATTTCATAACAGTCTGTGAAGCACGAAGGTGGTAACACAGAGAGAGAAGGGGTTGGATATAATGAACAAAGGGGGCTACATTTGTCTGCTTTGAATGTGTTAAGACGAGGGGTTGGTGAGTAAAGGGAGTTGGCAGTGTCTCCCGAGTATCTAGCTTGGGAGACTGAGCGAGGGACCGCAGGAAAAGGAAGCAGCTTAGGAAAGAAGTTACAAGCTTTGAGTATTTTGAGTTGGAGGTGACTGAGACATCCAAACATCAGACACTCAGAGGTCTGAACTGAAGGTGGACTTTGGCATCTTCGGTACAGGAATAATAATAGTAAAAGCAGAGGATGCGGGTGGCAGCATCCAGGGAGAGCATGGACTTCAGAAGATACAAGGAGCAAAGATAGACTCTCGAGAGATATCACCATTCAAGAGGCAGCAAGGGAAGACGGAGATGGGAGAAACTGAGCCGCCAAGGCCGAGAGAGTTTTGAGGAGAATAGAGTGAGCCGAGGCATTAGATGCCACAGAAAAGCCAAGAAAGTTAGTCCAGAAAAGGGCCATTGGATTTGATAAGGAGAAGGTCTTTGCCTCCCAGTAATTACAGGGCAAGACGGAGGCAGCAGCCTCACTGCCAAGGACTGAAGGGTCAGTGGAATGTGAGATGCTAGTACAGATGATTGCTTGACTGTAAATGGAAAGAGATGTAAGATACTCTTTTATTTTTAATTTTTTAAGAATGCAGGCATATGAAAATATAAGAGAGAGGGACGATTGATGAAGCAAAGTTGTTAGAATGTCGAAGGGGACCAGATCATAGGACAAAAACTTGGCTCTGGACAGCATAAAGGCGATCTCTTCCTCTGAGGCAAAAAGTGGGGACTGTGAGAGCGGGCGTAGAGAGAAGTGGGCCTGGGCGCGCTAGTGGAGGACTCGATAGAGCTCATGGCCGTTGGCCTCAATCTTTCCTGTGAAGGAAGATTGAAGGTCTTGGTGGCAGGCCCCTACCCGTCCTCTCAGCACTCACACCCAGAAGTAGAACACACAACGCCTTTACTTCCCCTGTGCGCTAACCAGCAATTCTCCGCCCTCACTCCAACACAACGGGGAAAACGCTGTCAACTGGGAATAATGCACAACCTAGAAGTTGAGACTTATGTTTCATTCAGTGGCCTTACTGAGGACTATAGCGCAGGATACAACCTCTCAGCTCTGAGGAAGTCGTCCAAAGAGGTAAAGGAGGAGCCAGGGTACAGAGGAAGTTTTGCTGAAAAAAAGAAAACAAAACAAACAAAACAACAAAGCCACTTAGTCTAACATCAAAAGATTACTGCTAATCACACACACACAAAAAAAAAACCACAACAGATTCAAGTTAATGATTTCAGTGCTTTTTCTATGTATGGGAAGATGCAAGAGTCTGGACTCACTGAAAATCTTCCTTTGATATGCATCTTAACTGTGTAGGGCCAGTATCCTGTTTTTCTCTGTCTTTAATTCCCTCAGGGCACACCCTCCAGGGTCACTGCAGTGGCTGCCAGGATGATGGCTGAAAACAGTCATTGATTCATTGTTTCCTAAAGTGGCAGGCAATAATTTTTTTGTCCACAACATCCTGACTGGATGCACTGAGACTCCACCGATCATAAGCTGGATTCCCTCTGTCTTGGAAGGAGACTGGGAGATGTGGCTGTGGGCTCTCTTAAGGAAGTCTTCCAGGCAGTGAGTAGATCTGTGGCTACAAAGTTGCCCCAGGTACTCTTGCATTCTGAAACTGCTGGTGGTACACACAGAAGAATCCCCACTGAGGAAAGCCGAAGAAAGCCACACAACTGGACTACTAAAGCTTGTAAGGTAATTTTCCAAAGATGTAAAAGAAATGGTATTGTTCCCCTT